CCGTGAAGTAGATAGTGAGCTGGCATTAGCATTCCCGCAAGTGCGGTGCATGGAAAGCACTACATTACAAGTACTACCACGAGAATGAAAAACTCTTGCCACGAAGCAAACACTTTGGAATCCGTTCATCATACTACTAGGGAAGGTGTTTCATAAGCTAAGTGAAACATTTGATTAATCAGGCCTTCCATCAAATCCGTTGGCATATGCCAAGCCGAGGAACACAAAGAAGAATGTCCGATGTCAGCAAACCTGCGGGAGAGAGTCGCCAATTGGGACGCCAAACCCGTGGCGTCGACTCTGTTGCAGCACCATTTGCTTGTGTAGAGTATGTCGTTAGAGTTTGTCTTCGCACACTTTATCGATGTGCCAACGCATGAACCTACTTTGAAAGGGGCGCGCGGCGGCCGGGGATACTAGTTGAAAGGTATTCTTTATGGCCGCGCACCGCGTGTAACTCTCGCACGGAGTGATACCCCATGACGCGGGGAGCGTACCTATCACATGTTGGGGAGTCGAAGCTGCATTCATCCTCAGAGATGCTGATAGCAAGATATTTCTTTCCATTTCACCCACGAGCCGTTGCCGAATAGTCGGGAGGATCGATGCCCCCACTGGCCATACGCTAATTCACGGTGCAGCATGATCGTAGACCAAGAGTTGTCCCAGCTTTGACTGTGCCAAAGACGATTCGAACTGTACATCAGGAACTAGTGATTCCACGGTTCCCAAAATAAGTAGCATAATGTATAATGCCGAAATGAGCGGGCGGCAGCCATCACTCAGTTCTGGCCAGCTCATCCCCCCATCCCGAGGAATTCGCCTTGAGAATCAGTAGGCTTTTCTAAACCGAAAGCTCGCAGGGTTATCATCCACAGTGCCCATCTACTCCACCTGCTATTTGCATTTTCCTGGGCCTCATGAACGTTGTCAAATGTTACAACACGACGGTGACCAGCCAACAAAGACATCATTCCAGCCAAAGGAGATTTATATTATGGGGTGCCTGGTGACTCCCGCCGACCACACATGCTAAACGATCGGGATGGGCGTCGCACCAAAAATACACTGACCCAATGAACAATGACAGCTCGTTAGGGATCGGGCAACCCCCGGCTCCCGGTTGTGGCGAACTCCCTCTCTCCCCTCATGGCGGGCACAACGAGAGTTTCAGGCAAGGTCAACCACATCAAGTTCTTTTAGGGCGAGATCGAAACCCCATTCCGCACAAAGATGCCCAAGAAAGGGGAAATTAGCAGGTGCGAAGCTTCGTTGTTGGCAGTGCGAGGGAGGGTGAGATTATTAGGAACGACCTCGGTGCGTACCCGGAATATCCTGCACAGCGTATGTGGAGCACCAGGAGCCAGGAGGGAAGAGTGATACACCTCCAGGCAGGGTACATCAGTAATCAAGGAGACGGTTGCAAGCGCAGAAAGGCCACAAAAGCAAAAGATCCCACCGTCATCCTGGCAAATGTTTTCAGAAGGGAGGTCGATCGAAAAGTGGGTGTGGGGTTGGGGGGGCGCAAGCACGGAAATTTGAGACCAAATGCGGCAATGTATTAGTAAGGTGTTTCTCCATTGCGCTGTGAGAAAGGTTGTGTTCGGCTACAAAGTGAAACGAAGCAGATAAAGAAAACTCGCAAATTTTCGGAGTAGGTGATCGGATTTGAGTTTATCCCCGTAGCATGTGACTTTTTATGTTGAAAGCAGAACGTGACTTTACATTGAATACAAAAGCGTCCCGCACGCGTCCATGGAGCGAAAACGACTGGGCACGAGTCTGATGTGGTGCCTAGTGTGTTTGCAACAGCAGAGTGAACGTACTTATTATTGCTTCGTCTGATTTCCAACATTTATCATCAGAATGCTGCGCAACTCATATACTGCAGCAGAAACTTAGGCAGGACTCCAGCCTCTATGACTTCGTAATAGCAGAAACTCATCTTCAGATCTTTGACACGAGTCTGAATTCTATGTGACTTAAAACCATTCATCGCCATCTTTTGGTATCTCCACCTCGCTGCGCTCAAAGGGAAGCGGGCATCAACTTGCAACACCTTCCCTTTTCGTTATGAATGAATTGAGTGCTCTAGGACCCGTTTGAGTCGAATGAAAGCTGATTCAATCAGCTTACCACGATGGACGCATCATCTTCTGCACTGATAGAAGGCTTGCGGGCAGCCGCCGAGGCCAAGGTAAAAGATCTCAGTGGGCAATTCGATCCCTCTCCCCGATCTCTTGTTGGGTCAGGCGGCTACTCCACTGTCTATATTGCAACTTGGAGGTCTCCTGAATGTGAAGGACCAGTGAAGGTTGTCACCCTTTCTTTGGAATAACCGCCAATTTATCATTCTTGTGCCTCGTGCCAGGTTTGCTACAAGGAGCTTCGTCCACCTGTAAGCAACATGCGTGAAGCTGTGGAGAGGACAAGGAAAACGGTCAAGGTGAGTCTCCCATATTCCTGCAAACAAGAAATTTAATGGCCATCCAGTACCTTACCCGTGAGATGGGAGTTTGGAGTAAATTGGATCACCCTCATATCCTCAAGTTTCTTGGATTTGCCGTCGAAGGGGATGGATGCGATGTAAAGGGTGTACTGGTTTCTCCTTGGTGTCCAAATGGGAGTGTACTCGAGTATCTAGAGAAGAACCCACATGCAGAAAGGATTGATTTGGTGCGGACTCTTTAATTTCACATTCGCTTTCGTAGCACAATGAATATATCGTGATTTATTAGGCAAGGGGTATCGCGAAAGGACTTGACTATTTGCACCATTTGACGCCAGCAGTTATTCATGGAGATCTCAAGCCTGTCAGCCAAACTCTCTATTGGTTGCTTCCATTTCGCTCACTCCTATCTCAAAGGCAAATGTTCTCGTTAGCGATGATCACAATGCAATATTATGCGATTTTGGGCTGTCCCGCTTTAGCAGTGAACTCACTACGGGTCAAACATCCTCAGCTGCTGCTTTCACGATCAGGTTCACGCCCCCGGAGGTAATATTAGATGAAGAGAGGAAGAGCATAGAAAGCGATGTTTATTCATTTGCATGCACATGTATTCCGGTGAGTTCGATATCTTTCTTGCTGATCCGGTCCTGAATTTCATGACCCAACCTGGCCAGATATTATTCGGCAAACAACCATTCTCTGGTCTGAATGACATCCAAATAGTTGCGCGGATTCCGAAAGAAGTCCCTTGGAACTGGGATCTCAAGGACCCGCTGCAATGCACTTTGTCTGACTGCTGTTCCGTGGTAACCGAGAATCGCCCCTCTATTCGGAAGGTCCTGCAAACTGCTGCATTTGTTGGATCCTCCCTGCCTCCCGAAGTTGCCCACGAACTAAACATGTCCAACGTCGGTGAGTCATCGGGCCTCCGAATGCTTTTTTTTTAGTTTATGTAAGAACTGGAGGCTATTCACTTACGAATCCATGTAGTAATGCCGCAGCTCTTCTCAACGCTTCAAGTGCCCAATGTTAACGCAAGAAGGATCCCAATCCCTGAAAACGGTGTCATTGCTGCCATTCATGTCACAGCATTCCAAGGCGCAATCGATACGCTGCTGAGCGTCGCCAGGTAAACGGTTGATCCACTTTGGTTTTTCCATCTAGGGTCTAATGTGGCCATTAGATCTGGCAATCCTGGTGATGTCCTTACGTCGATGAAGGCTGTTGAGGTTGCAGTGGATGCCATCACCGACGACGTGAGAGCATTTGAGCTGTCATCTCCCCGTGATATTAGTAGCGAGACCATTCCGAGTTGGTACCTCCGGGAACGTGTCCATGCAGCGCTCAGGAATCTCGTATCTGCTGCGCAACAACATGCGTCTGGTTTCGGCTTATCGCCAATTAGTCTTATGGACGCGGCTGCCAGCCATGTATCTTCAACCATTATCGATCTAGTTGAACGAAACACCCCGTCGAACGAGCGTGATTCTATCCGGTTTCCTACACATCACTCAGGTAGACGCCGCCCATTCCATCCTACTATCCTTCGTTCCCTACACGAGGTAGCACAAAGGGTGCAGCGTATGCGAACGGCGGCAGAGGCTTTGACACCCCTCCCGGACCCGGACCACCTGGATCGAGCCATCAGCCAGAGTGCCCCCTAGTCACAAACGGCTACTGGAAATGGGAGAACTCCCGTTGGAGGTCAGTACTTAGCAATGTGTATACAGTGATGCGGTGTCGTCACACGTTCTTATCAGACACATGAAGGTATTGACTTTCAAGGTTTCACAAACGCCATCAATAATTTTACTAAGCAGAATCGTCTTTCTATCCAATGGAAATTTAGTTGCCCCTTTGGCCTGGTTTCGCCTCCATGGTGGACGTACACATGGTAAAATGTCCCCTCTTAGGCGCGATATGTACTCTGATGGTCTTGCAGTAGATAATCAGGGACATGTTGGACTTCCTTTCCGCGACGGAAAACGATGCCAGTAGGAAAGCTTGCATTGCCTTTGGGGTTCAAGTTTGATGTACCCGAGGTATCACGTCTGAACATCTTTCCCTGCTCGATTTTTGGGCTGGGAGGGACCACGATATAGGCCAATCGACCTTGTAGCCAACATCATGCGCACCACGTACCACCTGTCCTTCGATCACAGTTTTTTTGTTCAGATGTGACAGCGCCACTCTAGCCATAATGCAATTGAAACAGATTTTCGGATAACGTCATGACCTCGGTGTGCACCCGGAATATCCTATACAGCGTGTGGATAAAAATGTGGAGCTAGCACCAGGGAGGGAAAAAATGATACGACTCCAGGCAGGGTGGTCAAGGCTCAGGCACGGTGTAAAACATATCCAGCTTCACATCCATGATCAAGAAGACGGTTGCAAGCGCAGCAAGGCCACACGAACCCCACCGTCATCCTGGCAAATGTTTTCAGAAGGGTGTCAATCGAAAGGTGGGCGTGGGGGCGCAAGCACGGAAATTTGAGACCGAATGGGGTAATGTTGGGGTTACTCTGCACACAGAGTCACTAACCACTCCCGATATTACGCAATTGGCGACGCTGAAAATTTGTCATCATCTTCCCTTTTGGGTTGTTTCCTTTTCTTTACATGCTTTCTTTTACGTCATCTCGCCTGTCCCTTCTCTTCCTTTACTTTCCTTCCACCATTTCCGCTCCCACTCGGCTCTTGTCCTTAAAGTCTCGGTTTAATCATATGCTTTTCCTTCCTCTTGCACGCAACAATGTCACGCATGCATTAAAAGGTGTCAACGTGCTTGGTGATGTTCCTGTGTCTGACCACAGGTATTCCATTGTCTGTCCTTGTGCACGGTAGTCCATGAAGGTGTATGCTGGTTCCACTGTGATTTGTCGCCATACCACCTTCTTTTTCGCTCTGCCTTTAAATAATTGCAGACTCCGAATGACTGGAAAAATTGGATTGTGTTTGTCAGATGTCTGCATTCCAATTAAACACATATTTTTATAGCCTAAGGATATTCGCCAAACAAAAATAGAAATAGATTCATGCTGGGACAGGCGAAAGAAAGCAAGGGCTGTGCAGAGTTAAGCGAAGCGCGAAGCGCAAGCACTCTAGTAATGTATTAGTGACGTGTTGTGAGGGACCTTGAATCGGCGAAGGCCGATAGACGAGCTTTGAGATCGTGAACGAGGGTGAACGTACTTATTGTTGCTTCGTCTGATTCTTAACATTCATCATTGGAGTGCTGTGCGACTCATAGGTATACTCCAGTAGACACCCATCTTCAGATCTTTGACACAAGTCTGAATTCTACGCGACTTAAAACCATTCATCGCCACCTCTACCTCGCTGCGCTCAAAGGGAAGGCATCAGCGCGAGGGGATAGTGGGCATAAACTTGCTCTGTTTGCAACACCTTCCCTTTTCGTCATGAATGAATTGAGAGCTCTAGGACCCGTTTGGGTTGAATGAAAGCTGATACGCCGTAATCAGCTTACCTTCTGCGAACAGCTTCACAATGGACGCATCATCTTCTGCCCTGATAGAGGGCTTGCGAGCAGCGGCCAAGGTGAAAGATCTCAGTGGGCAATTTGATCCCTCTCCCCGATACCTTGTTGCGTCAGGCGGCTACTCTACTGTCTATATCGCAACTTGGAGGTCTCCTGAATGTGAAGGACCAATGAAGGTTGCCACGTTCTCTTTGCCAGAATAGCCGCCAATTTATCATTCTCGTGCCTCGTGCCAGGTTTGTTACAAGGAGCTTCGCCCACCTGTAAGCAACATGCGCGAAGCTGTGGAGAGGACGAGGAAAACGGTCAAGGTGAGTCTCCCATATCCCCCGCAAACAAGAAATAGTCCTTATAATGGGCATCCAGTACCTTACCCGTGAGATGGGAGTTTGGAGCAAATTGGATCACCCTAATATCCTCAAGTTCCTTGGCTTTGCCGTCGAAGGGGATGGATGCGATGTAAAGGGTGTACTGGTTTCTCCTTGGTGCCGAAATGGGGGTATACTCGAATATCTAGAGAAGAACCTACATGCAGAAAGGATTGAATTGGTGCGAACTCTTTGATCTCGCATTCGCTTTCGCAGCACAATGAATATACCGCGATTCAGGCAAAGGGCATCGCGAAAGGGCTTGACTATCTACATCATTTGACGCCAGCAGTTATTCATGGAGATCTCAAGCCCGTCAGCCAAGCTCCCTCTATTAGTTGCTTCCATTTCGCTCACTCCTATCTTAAAGGCAAATGTTCTCGTTAGCGATGATCACAACGCAATATTATGCGATTTCGGGCTGTCCCGCTTTAGCAGTGAACTCACCACGGGTCAAACATCCTCAGCTGCTGCTTTCACGATCAGGTTCACGCCCCCGGAGGTAATATTTGATGAGGAGAGGAAGAGCACTGAAAGCGACGTCTATTCATTTGCATGTACATGTATTCCGGTGAGTTAGATATCTCTCTTGCTGATGCGGTTTTGAATTTCATGACCCAACTTGGCCAGATATTATTCGGAAAACAACCATTCTCTGGTCTAAATGACATCCAAGTAGTTGCACGGATTCCGAAAGAAGGTCCTTGGAACTGGGATCTCGAGGACCCGCTGCAACGCACTCTGTCCGACTGCTGTTCTGTGGTGACCAAGAATCGCCCCTCTATTCGGAAGGTCCTGCAAACAGTCCCATTTGTTGGATCTTCCCCGCCTCTCCGAGGCACCACAGGTGTTCTGAAGAGCATCATAGCGCCCCACGATGCTCGTGTATTAAACATATCCAACCCTGTCGGTGAGTCATCGGGCCTCCAAATGCTTTTTCGTTTAAGAACTGGGGGTTATTCATTTACGAATCCATGTAGCGACGTCGCAGCTCTTCTCAGGGCCTCAAGTGCCCAGGCGACTTTCTCCCCGAATTCGCATAGAACGTGAATTAATGAAGGAAGATAAGCGGTTGAACCTCGCGAAAACAATACAGCCCGACCAACTGCGTGTACCTGAAAGTTATCCTGCACCCCCGTACCGGGGGACTTACAATGGTGTTCGTACACGCATAAAATGTGTGGCTAGTTGTAGCTCTGCTGATGGGTCACTATCATCTCAACAGGGGCCAGTATGTATCCAGCAGATCAATATCCCGATTCCGCCCCTCGATGATCTCATGCGTGTATGTTCTGTTCTTCGGAGTCAGTCATCCTAAATCTGACGAAAATGATCTTTAAAGGGTTTGAAGAGGCAAATACGTATATGGCGTCGGTTAACGCATCCCAACATAGAGCGGCTCTACGGATGGGTTTTGTCTTCGGAAACTGAATCATCGATCAGTTTTAGTTCGATTTCCACTTGGGCTCACCGCGATGTCATGGGTTATTTACGCCAACACCCAGCTACTAATCGTCGCAAGATGGTGAAGTATCTATATATTTGTGAGAAATAGGGCAACAAGTGACTGACCCTGTCGCAAAGGTGTACCATATAGCGCTGGGTCTTGGCTATCTCCATTCGGAAGGAGTTGTTCATGCAGACATCAAACTGGTATGCTAGATATTGGTGAGCCCTTTAACATATTTAATGTTGCCATTCTACTGTTTAGGAAAACGTCAGAATAGGGGGTAGAGGCAATCCCCGTTTACGTGGTTTCCAATTCTCGTATGATCATTTGGACAAATTACTTCCCTCCGATTATCATCTCAGTCCCCGTTTCGGATCCCCAGAATTGCACAATGGCCTCACAAAGGTTCCGGATCGAGGATGCGATGTCTGGGCTTTTGGTTGTGTCAGTGTACAAGTAATTTTGATCCTATTCTTATTTCCAGGAAAAGGCGTTAACCCCTTCCCTCAGATTCTCATTGGTGAACCTCCCTACTCCAACTTTACTGACAATCAGATCCCTGTCGCTGCCGCAAATTCCATGCGGCCCTATGAGTGGGAAGATCTTGAGGAATTCGAAAGCTCTATTGTTGGGTGCTTTGCGTGTCCTCCACACCGCCGAATAAGCATCGATAGGGTGTGCGATACTCTCGGGTGAGTTGTCAGACAACTGAATAATATCACTAACTCCCTTCAGATCATGCTTAGCAGAAGAGACTAAGGCCGAAACGTCTGAGATGTCCACCGGAGGTATGGAGCTGCAGATTCCTATCTTTGCTCATGCTGTGACATGTGCAGGTCGCCAAGGGGGTTATGTCCACCGCAGCGGATTCTCCGCGTCAAGGGAGAAAAACCACCCAACCTTAAAGATTCGGACTCCAGATGCGCAGCAGCTCGTCAGGCCTGAGCAAACGACGGGTTCAGGTGCCTTCGTTGACGTGGATCCCGAGCTCCATAGTGAAAGAGATGCGAAGAAGGATGTCCCTCAAGTTGGAGTCTCCATTCCCCGGCTTCCCTCCGCCACTCGTTATGCATTTATCCCCACGGTATACCCACAAATGGGCCGTAATGCCATAAAGCTTGATGAGGCATGGAGAAAGTTGAAGTTCGAGCTTCAATGGGTGAGCCGAGTTACGCACAACATCGAGTTCTCCTTATTCTCATCTCTACAGGAGGACGATACATACAAAGACATGAATGGGGACTTTGTATGGTACTCGCGTGTTTTCAGTGCGTGTTGCTCCTTATCCTTTAGCACACATGCTAAGACTGTTTCTCAGTTGATGGTGTTCTAAGTGGGACTGGTCAGGCAAGCAAGAAGGGCATCGCTCGAGATCAGGCCGCGTACCACGCCTTGTTGCGCCTGATGGACCTGCACTATGCCATCGGTGACCAATCCCAGCAACTCTAAACTAGCGCGGCTCTGTCTTATTCTTACTTTGGCTCTGATATCGTACTTCCCCCACAAGCACGAAGGACATTTTAACGCGATGCATGTGCTCCCTTTTTATCGCAGTACTTCGGTAGTATAAGTAGCTTCGTCGGACATTTCATCATAATACACCAACACAGTCGAATTCTCTGTGTACTTAGATAGGTATACTGCAGTACAAACACATCTTCAGATCTCTGATACAAGTCTGAGTTCTACGCGACCTATCACCACCTTTTGTTTTCTCACGGCATCTCTACCTTGCTGCGCTCAAAGAGAAGGCATCGGTGCAAGTGGATGGTGGGCGTGAACTTGCCACATGAATGAATTGAGCTCTAGGACCTGTTTGGGTTGAATAGACGATTCAAACAAGTAGACGCATTTCCTCTTCGCCCCGAAAGCTGATACCCTATGATCAGCTTCTCTTCCACGTGTTGGCTAGATTATCACTAGGGGCTAACAGTCAATTCCCAGTGGAGAGCCCGTTCGTTCCGCCAACGGCTTCACGATGGACGCGTCGTCTTCTGCCCTGATAGAAGGCTTGCGGATGGCAGCTGCTGAGGCCAAGGTAAAAGATCTCAGTGGGCAATTCGATCCCTCTCGATCCCTTGTTGGGACAGGTGGCTACTCCACTGTCTATACTGCAACTTGGAGGTCTCCTGAATGTGAAGGACCTGTGAAGGTTGTCACGTTCTCTTCGGAATAACCGCCAATTTATCATTCCCGGCCATCCCAGGTTTGTTACAAGGAGCTTCGTCCACATGTAAGCAATATGCATGAAGCTGTGGAGAAGACAAGAAAAATGGTCAAGGTGAGTCTCCCATATCCCCCCCCCCGCAAACAAGAAATAGTCCTTATAGTGGGGCATCCAGTACCTTACCCGTGAGATGGGAGTTTGGAGTAAATTGGATCACCCTAATATCCTCAAGTTCCTTGGCTTTGCCATCGAAGGGGATGGATGCGATGTAAAGGGTGTGCTGGTTTCTCCTTGGTGCCGAAATGGGAGTATACTCGAGTATCTAGAGAAGAACCCACATGCAGAAAGGATAGACTTGGTGCGGACTCTTCCATCTCCGCATTCGCCTTCGTAGCACAATGAATAAACCGTGATTCATTAGATAAAGGGTATCGCGGAAGGACTTGACTATTTACACCATTTGATGCCAGCAGTTATTCACGGAGATCTTAAGCCTGTCAGTCAAAACTCCCTCTATTAGTTGCTTCCATTTTCGCTCACTCCCGTCTCAAAAGGCAAATGTTCTCGTTAGCGATGATCACAACGCAATGTTATGCGATTTTGGGCTGTCCCGCTTCAGCAGTGAACTCACCACGGGTCAAACATCCTCAGCTGTTGCTTTGGCGATCAGGTTCACGCCCCTGGAGGTAATATTAGGCGAGGAGAGGAAAAAGTACCGAAAGCGACGTCTATTCCTTTGCATGTACGTGTATTCCGGTGAGTTTAGATATCTCTCTTGTTGATGCAGTTCTGAAATTCCATGACCCCACCATGAACCCTGGCCAGATCTTGTTCGGCAAACAACCATTCCCTGATCTAAAGGACCTCCAAATAGTTGCACAGATCCCGAAAGAAGGTCCTTGGAACTGGGATCTCAAGGACCCGCTGCAACGCACTCTGTCCAACTGCTGTTCTGTGGTGACCAAGAATCGCCCCTCTATCCGGAAGGCCCTGCAGACGGTTACATTTGTTAGGTCCTCCCTGTCTCCCCGAGGCACCACGGGCGTTCCGAAGAGCATCATAGCGCCCCACGATGCTCATGCATCAAACATGTCCAACCCTATTGGTGAGTCATCGGGCCTCAAATTCCCCGGGGGTTCGGCGGCATAAGCATTTCCTTTTGGCCGAGTTATAGTTTACCTGTCTGATTCTTCTTCCTGTCGTAGGAGACTACATAACGAGATTAGTGCGGTACGCTCGCGAGTATAACATTCGGTTACGCAAGGTAAGACATGCCCTTTAACATGCGTATAGGTGGAAAGACGAGTTGGCTGGCGCATGGGAAGTGTGTTTTTTTATGGTGGGCTCCCGTTCATTGTGTCAGTTTAAACTATTCATCTTAGGTCTTCTAGCGGGTGGCATTTTTGTGTGCGGGTTCCACACAATATAGTCCGACCAGCGCGTGCCTCCGACGATGGCCCGCATTCTTGACACTCCAGATCCTTCTGGGGGGAGTAACCGGTGCGGGGGTTCCGATTTTGGGACTGGGATGACCACTATACAGGCCACCATTATTTGCATCCCATTCGACCCTTTCAGCCATCGCTACCAACCCTGACCATGTTCCGCCTGTCCTTCGATCGCAATTTTTTTTGTTTCCTTGGTTCAGACCAACCGTAATGCAGTCGAAACAGATTTTGGGATAACAACCCTATTACTATTACTGCCCGCAATGGTGGCCAAGGCTTGATCACAGTGAAATGAATAGAAAACATATCAAAGAAATTTGAGACCAAATGCGGTAATGTGTTCTCCATGCGCTGTGAGAAGGTTGTGGGCAAGCCGCAAAGTGAAACGAGTCGGATAAAAAAAAAACTCAAGCGAAGCCGCCGACACGATTTTGGAAAGAAGGAATCTATCCTTGGGGACGACCATCCGAATTTAAGGGATGTACTCCGAGGTTTCAAGTACGGAAGCTAGCGTCAACTTAACATACCCCCCCTCCCCCAGGGCGGGCGCACGCTTTTCAACTGGGACTTGCGTTAACGTCGTGCATGTCTTGCACAATTAGGCTTGATGAGTTCTGAAAGCAGTTGGGGGAACCCACCCAGTGACAGGGCAAGGAGTCAACGCAGGCCACGATCATAACAAGTGTTTCCCCGGGCAGAGAATGGATAATGGAAACCATGTGGAGCAAAAGGAGGACCTGAGAAAATATTGTCACACACCATATGCGTCAACATAAACATTGATACCTGATCGACAGGCAGCGGGAAAATGAACGGGTTCATGAAATATTTTCGCGGCCTCCCCCACAAACCTAGGTTATGCGGATCATCATCCACCGGCTGAACGGCAAAAGAAAACCCGAAGGAATTCATTCATGCGGACTGCGAAGAATAAGCTCAAATGACGATTGAGCGGCGGCAGATCGTACATAGCGTTGAATACTATTTAATATATGTTTGATTACTCTTAAATCTTGTGGCTTGCCTGTTGGGATTTACCAAGAGTGGGGGGGAGAGCTTTTAACGCAAGTCCATGACTAGTTCAACGACAGGTCGACGTAACACGCGACCCTCAAGGGGTGGGTCCCGTTATCCCACATACGTCGCTCGTCAACAGCGTTCGTGCTCTGCACAATAGCTTTATGAAAGCGTGAGACGAAATGAAGAAGAGCACGGTTACCCGTTTAAGATCATCCAGATAGCGTTTGCCAAGTGGCACCCGTGGTGGCCGGAATGGTGGTGATGAGGAACTATACTAGAAGCCAAATGAGCCCTCTTGAATCATTCCCTTATAGTCATGACGCGTGACACAAGCCGAGATGGGTTATGATGGACAAGCGCAAACTGCTTGGATGAGCCGGTGGGGAGAGTGACAAGCACTAGTACTGGCAGGGCAACGGCGAGGGATCAACAGGCACCGAATTTGCATTTAGAGGTCGAGGAATGGCCGTGGAGCCCGGATCCGGATTTGTTGTTCTGGATCAAGGTCAACTGTTCCCTGGAACCGCCTCCTGATCCGAACAGCATAAGGATAGAGATCTTGATAGATCCCGTTGCCGGCCGCTTACGCATGGTATCGAGAGCTTTAACACGATACAAGCTCCCCGCCAAAGGAATTTAGCTCGACAGGGAGAAGCCATGAGCTAGGACGCAGCAGAACTAGTACTGTTTACATAGCTAGCCTCGTGTGTAACCCTCGCAAACTAAAAAGCGGTGTTAAACTGCTGACGACTACCCCGAGAGATCTTCGGCCTTTCGTAGCCGCAAATATGACGGGGGGGGGATATTACTGATAAGAAACATATTGGTGAGAGTTATTTGGCACAACAACCAAAGTAGCATGTGCAAACAGTTACAGTCCAGATATACAAAAAAGGGGAGGGGTCTATCCATATGGCATCAATCTTCGCAAAGTCCTCGCCTGTGATTTGTTGGCGTATGCCGGTTGTCCTAATGGATCAAAAGGAAGTGAGGGGCGGTGCATCAGCGGTTACAGTCACGAAGAAAGAAAATAGAAAAGAAAACGAGTGGTACGTAATTACGTAAATGGATGGATAGTTGGAACGGGGGCAGTGAAAGCAAGTAAGAAAACGGTTGATCCGACCTAATCGGTTGAGTCGCGACGAAGACATTCCTGTGTTCAAATGTGTTTTCATAGTCTTCCCTAGTCAAACCGCGAGTCATTATGCTCTCTAAGAAAAAGAAAAGAAAAGCTATCTATACCCGCTTGAACATGCCATTAGGGAGCGCCGTCCATCTTTTCTTAGTTCCCGAGTCTAAAAACCCCAACCGAATGAATGAATGAATGAATGAAAAAAAAATGACGAGGAGAAGAAGAAGAAGAAGCCGTACGTACGCGTCTTGAGCTTTGGGTACAGGTTTGCCGATGAAGAGGAAAACGCACGAACACCTTGGAAGGCACGCGCACCGGCCTCCAGCAGCAGCCAGAACATGTTATTGGAGGGGCTGCAGTTTGAGAAACTGAATTTGTGCCCCCCCTCCATTCAATTCATGATCCGAAGTCACGTGTACAGCCTCACCAAGTTCCCCCGTGATCCGCGTTGAATAGAGCCCAAATGTTGTCCCTTCAACTGCAGAGGAATGGGCATACGTAGGAGGGATGGCTATTATATAAGGTGGGTGTGAACTTCTGGTCTTTCGGTCATCCCCCCCTCCTTTTCTACTTTCGAGGTCTCCTCGCTATCCTTACGTGCTTTTTCTTGTTATTCGCGACTTGAACCACTGCAACACAATGTCTAACGCCAACGATCGCAAACAACAGCGTCCTACCTTTGATCCCCCACTTCGCAAGTCTTTCCTCAGTGGTGACCTCACAGGATGGACGCTCGACATGCCTCCGCATTTGCACAAGTTGTAAGTTCTCTCTCCCCTTGATATTATTATATAGCGCCTTCCGACGTAAGGGAGAGATCGCCCTCCCACAATCACGTTTGACGCGCGCCCATTTCTTTTCTTTTTTATATATATACCCACTACTTTGACTGACGCCTCCCATTGCGCCACACCCCACCAGCACTCTAGGCTTTTTCCCTTTCTACGTTTCCCTCATCCCGGTCGCTCGCTTACTCACCCGGCCAAACGGATGGTTCACTCTCTTGCTCGATAAAGTGCTCGGACCCCGAAACGCCGTTTCGATCATCAAACTTGTGGCGTACGCCACTTTTAATGCTTACGTATTCACCGCCGTGGGAAGTGTCTACGGACAGAGTACGCACCCGAGGGGATACCAAAATAACAGTTGAGTACTGATGTTTCTTTTTTTTTCTTTTTCTACTTGGGGGGGAGGGACCTGCCATGCTATGTACAAACACTGTCGCCGTTGTTGTATGAATCGAATCGGCGGTTTGCTTCTACCCGCCTTTTCTTCTTTCGGCATTTCATTTGAGAACGGACATGTATTAATCAACAATTCATTCTTTCATCGATTTATTACACACACAGTGCCCCGTCTCGGTAGACACGAAATCAGCGGATTCGCCCATCGTCTCATGTCAGCTCACCATTCCATCCTCGAAACCTTCCCCGCTTTCGGAACCGCCGCCGCTCTCGTCTTTGCTACCCATGGCATCGCCAAAACCGTCGGAGCTTCCACTCTCATCGACGGACTCTTCTTGCACGTTTTCTTGAAACACATCCTTTTCTGGGTGTGCTACGTTTTGAACGATGATTTCAATCGTTCTGGTGCGCATGTGTTGAGCATTTCGACGTTGGTTAGCGTCTTGCTTGAGTTGAGCCGATCTTTGTAAAACACAAAAAACAAGGGGGGGAAAGGAGAGGAAGGGGTAGGGGTAGAAGGACGCGCTCTTGCCCCGGTGTGTGTGTGTGTGGCGCGGTTTTTGCAGTTCAATTTCTTCGTTTGGCCTCGCCAGTCAAATTCATCGGCAATTTTTGATATCGCCGCCTAATCATTGCCTTTTGTTTTTTCTTTTGTTTTTGGACACATTATCACTGCGTGTGTATGGTGGGAGGGAATTATTGTGTCCTCACGTAATGTATATTTTTGGTCTAGAATGAACACGAGCTATTAAAGTGATCAACTCATCGCAAAGCTGGTATATAATGAGAGAGAGCACAAATGACTCAACAAAATTTCTCGCTCATCGGCAGAAAAAAAAATATGTTCAGATCGCATGTAAATTCGCCTCTAGCTGAATTATCCGCATGCACATGCAATGTCTTTGATGTCCTGGATGATATGGCCCCGAGCTGCAGCTAAGGGTTGATTTCGGCCTAATCAAAATCTGAGCAGCGGATTGGAGATAAGCTAGCCCCCCCCCCAAGTATTGACGGCCAATCGCACTCGCGCGAATCTCAAGATTCGCCACCAAGGGCCCATGCACAAGCGTATTCGAATATTCCTTACATAAGGAAACTACCTCGATACCTCATTAATTAAAGGAACCATCGATCATAAAGTTCTTCCCGCCTCAGAAGGAGATTTGGCCGGGCCTCGCCATGCATGTCTGGTCGCCCCGTGTACATACCGAAGAATTGTCCTTAGCTCATTTAGCCCATGAACAATATATATGTATCTTCCGAATCTCCGGAAAAATAATTCCTACCTACCTCTATGTACGGCACTGGTACCGTGTAATCCGTACTGTCCTTCCGGCATCGCGCGGCTTCCACGCGCAACACCCTACCCGTCACAACCCGAAAATAAACCGAAGGGGCCCGTTGTTGTAATTTACCAATTGCAGGGGCCCAGGTTACTGCGTGGATATCACTTACACATAAGCATCTATGATCCTAACACTTTGACAGATCGGGAAGATCGACGTTGGATGTTAATTATCAGCAGAGGTGAAAATATGTAG